ATATCATTTTGTAGGCTTCACAGTAAGATCTTCCCTGTCATCAGTGTTATGCTGCTGTGCTAGAGTGAGTCTTTCAGTGTGTTTGAAGTGTTTTCTTGGTCGTCTCATAGAGTTACACAGCACGGAAACAGAACCTTCGGTCCAACCAGTCCATGCTGACCATCATCCCAAACTAAACTAGTCCCGCCTGCCTGTACTTGGCCCATGTCCCCCAAAACTTTCTTATTCATGTACTTATCCCATGTCTTTTAAACATTGTAACTGTACCCACATCCACCACTTCCTCCGGAAGTTCATTCCACACACAAACCACTGTCTCTAAGGTTTTGGAGTAGATCTGTAGATCTCTCTGTGTTAAAAAAAATGCCCCTTGTGTCATCTTTAAATCTTTCTTCTCTCAACTTAAAAATATGCCCCCTAGTCTTGAAATTTCCCACCCTAGGGAAGAGACACCTGCCATTCACCCTATCGAGACCTCGCACAATTTCATAAACCTCTATAAGGTTACCTCTCAACCTCCTATGCTCCAATGGAAAAATTCCCAGCTTATCCAGCCTCTCTTTATAACTCAAACCCTCCATTCCTGGCAACATTCTGGGAAATCTTTTTGAACCCTCTCCAATTTAATAAAATCCTTCCTATAACAGGGTGACTAGAACTAGGCACAGTGCTCCAGAAGAGGCCTCACCAACGTCCTATACAAACTCAACATAATGTTCCAACTCCTATACTCAAAGGTCTGAGCAATGAAGGCAAGCGTGCTAAATACCTTCTTAACCACCCTATCTTTATGTGATGCAAACTTCAAAGAATTATTTACCTGAACCCCTAGGTCTCTCAGTTTTATAACACTACCCAAGGCCCTCCTTTTAATTGTATAAGCCTTGCCTTTATTTGTTTTACCAAAATGTAAAACCTCATATTTATCCAATTAATCTCCATCTGCCACTCTTCAGCCCATTGACCCAGACAACATTCTCTTTGTAATCGTAGATAACCTTCCTCACTGTCCACTATACCACCAGTCTTGATGTCATCTGCAAACATATTAACTATGACTTCTGTATTCCCATCTGAATCATTTATCTAAGTAACAAACAAAAGTGGACCCAGCATTGATCCCTGAGGAACACAGCTGGTCACAGACCTCCAGTCCGAAAAACAACCCTCCACCATCACTCTCTGTCTCCTGTTGCTAAGTCAATTTTGTATTCAATTGACAAGCACACCCATGTGACCTAACTTTAGTAATTCATCTACCGTGCGAGACTTTGTCAAAGGCTTTACTAAAGTGCAAGTAAACAACGTCTACCACTCTGCCCTCACCAATCTTCTTGGTAATTTCTTCTCCTGGAACACTGACCACTTGAGAGATGAAAAAGGCCAGTGGGGGAAACAGTTTTCAGCAATCTGGGTGCAGGGTTTGGTCCATCAAAATTGATTTTTCAGGATCTTTGCCAGAACGCTTGTGGAGCTGGTTTCATCAAGGGCACTTGTGTTTGTTCAATGGCCCTCCCATTGAATCTGGAGAAAGTGTTGGACACATTGCTGCTGGAATTTCTCTTGTGCTCTTATGTGTCATTGAAACACAGTTCTGGTCTCACTACAGTGGGGAGGTGGTGGCCTAGTGGTATTATTGGTATTATCGCTGGACTGTTAATCCAGAGGCCCAGATAATGTTCTGGGGACCCTGGTTCTAACCCCAGCAAGGCAGATACTAGAATTTGAATTAAATGAAAACATGTAGAATTAAGAGTCTAATGATTGTTAGAGGAAACCAATCTGGCTCACTAATGCCCTTTGGGGAAGGAAAGTGCCATCCTTACCTGGTCTGGCCTACTCCAGCCCCAAAGCATTGTGGCTGTCCCCAGTTAGGACAATAAATTCTGGCCTAGCAATGCCTGTGAATGAATTTAAAAAAAAAACAAGTGCAGCAGTGTCATAGTTCATAGAATCCCTGAAGTGTGGAAACAGGCCTTTCAGCCCAACAAATCCACACTGACCCTCAGAGCATCCCACCCAGACCCATCCCCCTATAACCCACACATCCCTGAACACTATGGGCAATTTAGCATGGCCAATCCACCTAGGCTGCATATCTTTGGATTGTGGGAGGAAACCCACGCAGACATGGGGAGAATGTGCAAACTCCACACAGACAGTCACCTGAGGGTGGAATTGAACCCATGTCCCTGGTGCTGTGAGGCAGCAGTGCTAACCACTGAGCCACCGTGCCACTCCATGAAAGCCACTGCTCTGTACACAAGTACTTTTGATCCTTGCGCAGTTCTTTATTATGAAGCACTCACTGTCGTAGATTGTGAGACACTAAACTGGTGCAGCTGATGCAATGTTGCATCATCTCATCAGTGGTGGCCTTCAGAGAGAGAAGGCTGCCAAGGTGTGCCAAATGCTCAACATACTCGAGAGTCCTTTAAACTAAATGAGCGATGGAATATTTAGATCCCACGCAAACAGTTACAGTCAGCTCATCATGCAGCAGTTCCAGGATTGTGAGGAAGTATTTTTTCTTGGATATTCAGATCCCTGGAGAACAATTCACAGAACCTCACAATTTACTGAACCAGATCCTTTAATCACGTCGATAAATGCAATGAAGAGTTACTCATGATGTTCTGTGGTATTTTTCATAGATTTCTCCAGAAACAAAGACCATATCCTTTATTTCCCCTGGAAAGCTGAAGACTACACTAGTCTCTGTTCCTGGGAGGACTTCCTCAGCCACAGGAAGTACATGATCCAGGAGGCTGTGTCTCAGAATTTTCCCCGCTATGGACAAGATGGAAATAGAGTCATACAGCATAGAAACAGGCCCTTCGGTCCACCATGTCCATGCCAACCAACAACACCAAACTACACTAATCCCATTCACCTGCACATGGTCCATAGCCTACTATTCCCTAGCATTTTAAGTGCCCTTCCAGATGCTTCTTAAATATTGTGAGAGTACCTGCCTCCATCACCCTCTCAGGTAGCACATTCCATATTTCTACCACCCTATGAGTGAGTTTTCTTTATTTGAGAATCATCTAAACTACTTGCTCCTCACCGTAAACTTATGCCCTCTGGTCTTAAACACGTCTGTCATGGGATGAGTTTCTCGCGATCTACATAATTTTGTATATCTCAATCAGATCCCCCCCTCAGCCTGCCTTGCTCCCAGGAAAATAAACCCACCTTATCCAGTCTCTCCTCATAACTGAGACTTTTCATTCCAGGGATCATCCTGGTGAATCTTTCTGCAGTACAGTCACATCCTTCCAATAGCATGGTGACCAGAACTATAGACAGTTTTCCATCTGTGGTCTCACCAATATTTTATAACATCGTAACAAGACTTCCTTGCTCCTATATTCTACACTCCAGCTAATGAAGACAAGCATCCCTTATGCCTTCTTCACCACCCTGTCTCCCTGTGTCGACACCTTCAGGGATCTATGGACTTGTATATTAAGGTCACTTTGTTCTTCAGTAATCTCTCGGGACTTACCATTCATTGTGTATCTCTTGCCCTTATTAGACCTCCCAAAAAAATCCATCACCTCGCAGTTATGGATGTTCTGCCGTTGCTCTTCCCAACTTACCAGCTGATCAATATCAGACTGTACCCTGAGACCATCCTCATCAGTATCAATAACACCACCAATTTTCATCCCATCTGCAAACTGACTAATTATACCTTCTACATTCACATCCAAGTTGTTAATATGCGTAACACACAGCAAGTGTCCCAGCACCGCCCCCTGTTTACATCGCTGGTCACGGGCTTCCAATTACAAAAACAACTCTCACCCTCTGCCTCCTATTTTAAGTCAGCTTTGGACCCGGTTTGCCATCTTGCCCTGAATCCTGTGGACTCGTACCTTTTGGATCAGCCTTCAATGTGGAATCTTGCCAAAGGCCTTACTAAAATCCATGTAAACCACATCAGCCAGTAGTTTCCACAGTGTGAATTATCACCCTTCCTGGACATAACTACAGTTGTTGCAAACCAGTTGGCGAATTAGGAGATTTGGGTTGGTGTTATTCGTGTGTCTGAAAAGAGATGACAAGGTTAATGTTCTCCCGAGTCAGGGACTCAGCACTGTGTGTGAGAACCCTCTTGAACTGAAGTCTGGGACTGGTTCGGTCCCAGAGGTTCCCCTGCTAGAGCTGCTACCTCAAGAGACTTGCTGCCCACTCCTAGAGCCACTAGAAGCTCTGCAGCATCAAGACAGAAAGGGCTGCTGGACTGCCCTAGCAACGGTCATGATGTGTCACACTGCCAGCTCCAAAGTCCAAGTTGTTTAGCTGCTCCCACCAAAGGAAGAGAGCTGTGTGCAAGAGAGTGGTGTCAGGAACCACCCATTTTCCCAGTTAAGAAAGTGTGGCCAAACACAGGGGGGTCAGGGATTGGCCAGCACCAGCAGTAATGGACAGAATGGCCTCCTCAGCTGTTTGATTCTCTGACATGCATGAGACAATCAAAGCTTTCAGGATTGAGATCAACAGATAAGGTGATGGATATGGGTTAAAAGTGGAGTCAAGATAAATGTCTGCCACACTGCCATTGTACGGCAGTACAGGCAAGTTTCAGTCCGAAACGTTGACTTTCCTGCTCCTCTGATGCTGTCTAACCTGCTGTGCTTTTCCAGCCTCACACCTATAGACACAGGAGTAGGACCTACATGGCCTATGATTGCTCCTGTGTGACATTTGCTGGCATGGTTTTGTTTTTTTTTATTTGTGTAGTTGGTTGTTGTGCAGATTTTCTCTCTCATCGCGCATCCTTGGAAAGGCTTTGCAGAGAGACTGGCGCAGAGTGGCCAGGGAGATACCAGAGACAAGGTGTTTCCTGGTGGTCTAGGTTCACATGTGGCTGGTTACCAGTAACATTCAGTGGGGGAGCTGTGGAATTGCTTAACATCAGAGAATTCTCCACTCTGCCTGCCACCCTCCCCCAAACCCCACTCACACAGTTTTGTGCTTGTTGTTTCCAGCGGCTCTTCTTCCCTGTGTCTTCAACGTGGAAACGACTCCATCCCCTCGGGTGGAGTGGAAGAAAATCAAAGGAAAACACGTCACCTTCATGTACTTCGATCATGGTCTGACTGGTATGTCTGATACAGCACGTGAAATAACCATTCACTCTTTCTCACACTCTCTCTCCCTCACACTCAGACACAGACACACACACACACACAATCGCGTGCGCACACGCACAATTGCATACACACAGACACCCGTACTCTCACACATACGCATGTGCACAAGTGCAATCTCACACACACACATACACACTCTCCCTCACACACACATACGTTCACACACTTACACACACACAGTCACAGTCACTCACAGACTCACATACACAGTCTCACACACATATGTACACACAGACACATACTCTCACACTCTTTCACGCGCACACACTTTCTCACACACTCACAATCACACACACACTCTCATACACACACACACACACACATGCACACACTCTCTCATATACACATATTCACACACACAATTTCACACACTCTCACAGACACACATACATTCACACACTTACACACACACAGTCACACACATACTCTCAGACACACATACACATTCATACACACAGATACATAACTCGCTGTCACACTCTCTCACACACACAATAACACACACACCCCCATACATACACACAATCACACACACACCCCCGTACATACACACAATCACCCACACACCCTCATACATACACACAATCACACACACACCCTCATACATACACACAATAACACACACACCCTCATA